TGGCCTTGAACTCACAGAGATTTTCCTGCCTCTGCCTCCCGAGTGCCTGTGCCACCACTGCCCCCCAGGGTATCTTTTTAAATTTAAATTAACCTATTTCTCTTTATCTATGTTTTGCATAAGGGCTTTTCCCTTTTTCTTTTCTTCTGTATATCTTACTTTCACTGCTTCTCATATGTCTGGCTCCTGGTTGCCTGCTTCTGGCCCAGGGAGTTCATTTTTCTCAAACCTAGATTTTTTCTATTTATTTTCTCTGCCCACTAGCCCTGCCTATCCTTTCTCCTGCCTAGCTATTGGCTGTTCAGCTTTTTATTAGACAAATCAGGTGCCTTAGGCAGGCAAGGTGAAACAGCAACACATCTTAAAATAATTAAACACACATCCTTACGTCACTAAACAAATGTAACACACCTTTGCCTAGTTAAAATAATATTTCATAACAGGGATGGCTTTAACATCCTAGTCTTCCTGTCTTTGCCTCTGAATGCTGGAATTTTAGACATGCACCACCATGCTTCTATCTGTAATGTTACAATAATTTATCAACATCATCATATTTGTGGGAATCAAACACAGGTCTCACTGTATGTTAAGCAAAGCATTCTTTTTTTTTGTTTTTTTTTTTGTTTTTGTTTTTGTTTTTTTCGAGACAGGGTTTCTCTGTGGTTTTGGAGCCTGTCCTGGAACTAGCTCTTGTAGACCAGGCTGGTCTTGAACTCACAGAGATCCGCCTGCCTCTGCCTCCCGAGTGCTGGGATTAAAGGCGTGCACCACCACCGCCTGGCTGCAAAGCATTCTTCTACTAAATGACAACCCCTGTTATTTTATTTTTACTTGTGACAGTTACTTAGACTTGCCTTGAACTTACTTTATGTCACATGGAAGTACTTGTGATGCCTGAACCAGGCCAGCTTTATTTTTTCTTATATTTTTAATCATTTTTTGGTTTTTAAGTTCTCAAATTTCTTTGGAACTTACAGCAAAATACTACTGCCTCAGCGTCCCAAGCTCTAGGCCTGTAGTTTCAAGACATTAGGTCCAACTAACTGTTTTTTGTTTTTCTTGTTTTTTTGTTTTGTTTTTTTAAAATATTTATTTATTATATATACAATATTCTGTCTGTGTGTATGCCTGCTGGCCAGAAGAGGGCACCAGACCTCATTACAGATGGTTGTGAGCCACCATGTGGTTACTGGGAATTGAACTCAGGACCTTTGGAAGAGCAGGCAATGCTCTTAACCTCTGAGCCATCTCTCCAGCCCCTTTGTTTTGTTTTTGAGACAGGGTTTTTCCATTCTGCGTTTCAGATTTTCCAGGAACTGACTACATAACCCAGGCTGGTCTCCAATTCCTGATCCACCTACCTTTGCTCTCCAGGTTCTAGGATATCAGGACTCAGGTTACTTTTTCCTGTACAAATGATGGAACTCAGGGCCTTCCATATGTTACATATGCTACAACTAGGTTGTGGGTTTTGCTTGTGTTGTGAGATGGGATCTTACTATGGGTCCTGGATAATCTGGAACTCATTGTGTAGGCCAGCATGGCTTTGAACTTTTGAATTTTGATCTTCCTACCTACTCGAGTGCTGGGATTTCAGGCTTGTGCACCCATGCCAGACTTCCTGCTGCTTACTTCATTTGAGACAAGGTCCCAGGTATCCCAGGCTGACCCCAGACTTGCTTTGTAGTGAAAAAGACCTTGAACTTCTGCATGTCTCCCCTCCACCCCAAGTGCTGTGATTGAAAGTGCCCACTGCAATTGGCTGCACCGTTTTGTCACCATAGAAACATCTGTGTTTTTTAAGATTTTATATAAATAGAACTATGTAATATGTGCTCTTTTGTGTCTGACTTTTACTTATCATAATTATTTTGAGGTTTATGGGCACTGTTGCAATCATTCTTTTATCGTTTTTGTTACTTGGGTTTACTTTTGTTGTTTCTTTGAGACAGGGTTTGTTTTTGTTTTGTTGTTTTGTTTGTTTTTTATTTGTTTTGTTTGTTTGGTTTGCTTATTCAGGACAGAGTTTCTCTGTAGCTTTGGGGGCCTTCCTGGAACTTGCTCTGTATACCAGGCTTTTGGTTTTTCGAGACAGGGTTTCTCTGTGTAGCCCTGGCTGTCCTGGAACTCATTATGTAGACCAGGCTGGCCTCGTCTTAGAACTGAGTTCTAAGATTCCTGAAAGTTGTGCTCAGATCTCTATGCGTATGCAGTGGCTTGAGCATGAACACACAGACAGATAGGTTAAAATAACCTTTTTGAGGGTGTCACTCAGCTTTGATCCCAGCACTTGGAAAGCAGAGGCCGGAGATCTGTGTGAGTTCAAGGCCCTCCTGGTCTACAGAGTGAGTTCCAGGACAGTCAGGGCAACATAATGAGAAGCTTTGTTTTGTTTTTGTTTTCAAGGCAAGGTATCTTTGGCAGTCCTGGGACTCACTCTGTAGACCAGGCTCGCCTCAAACTCACAGAGATCTCTGCCTCCTGAGTGCTGGGATCAAAGGTGTGCACCACCACTACCTGGCTGTGAGACCTTATTAAAACAACAGCCTGGCCAGGCAGTGGTGGCACACACCTTTAATTGCAGCACTTGGGAGGCAGAGGCAGGCAGACCTCTGTGAGTTTGAGGCCAACCTGGTCTACATGAACTAGTTCCAGGACATCCAGGGCTACACAGAGAAACCCTGTTTTGAAAACCAAAAAAAAAAAAAAAAAAAAAAAAAGAACTCAGTTCTCAGTTCTCTCCTTGTGGGTCCTGAGGATCGAACCCAGAACTTGGACTTAGTGGCAAGGGTCTTAACCTGCTCAATCATCTTGCTGGCCCCTGAGTTTACTATTGTATCCCACTAGCCCATTTGAACATGTGAATCTGGCAGGCCTTGGCTTTCTCCTCTTTTCCATCTGCCTTGGTTAAAAAACAAAACAAAACAAGCTGGTTGGTGGCGCACGACTTTAATTCCAGCACTTGGGAGGCAGAGGCAGGCGAATCTCTGAGAGTTCGAGGCCAGCCTGGTCTACAAGAGCTAGTTCCAGGACAGGCTCCAAAGCTACAGAGAAACCCTGTCTCAAAAAAAAAAAAAAAAAAACAACAACCCAAAAACCAAAAGAGAGAGAGAGAGAGAGAGAGAGAGCTAGTTCCAGGACTGGAACCAAAAGCTACAGAGAAACCCTGTCTCGAAAATCAAAAAATAAATAAATACATAAAAAGATAAAAAAAAAAAAAGCTAAACTAAAAATACGTTAGATCACATTCCTAAAGGTCCATCTAGAGATAGTCTTTTGTCTCTCTGGGAGCAAGTTCCAGTACTGGTTCCAAAACTACAGAGACCCTGTCTCGCCAAACAACAACAACAAAAGGTTTATTTATTTATTATGCATGCAGTGTTCTGTCCGCATGTATGCCTGCATGCCAGAAGAGGGCACCAGATCTTATTACAGATTGTTGTGAGTCACCATGGGGGCGGGGCGCTGGGAATTGAACCCTGGTCCTCTGGATGACTCTGGATGAGCAGTCAGTGCTCCTAACCGCTGAGCCATCCCGCCAGACCCTGGGCCTCCTTTTTCAGGTTAGAAGAAGGGTGGGGCCGAGGACTTGTGCAGGGCCTGGGGTCCATGAACTGGCAGTGGCTGAAGGCGCTTCGTTCCCTGAAGTGACAGGTGTTGGATCGTGACTAACGGTAAAACTGTTGGGATCGTTAAAACCGTTAAAACCCTTTGGCCTCGTGCGGCAGCGGGGCGGAGCCAAGGAGCAGCATTCTCATTGGTGGGCGGTCCCCAGGGGCGGGGCCTCACCTCGGCGGGATTTCCAGCACGCCTCGGCGAAGCCTGAAGGTGTGGCGTGGTGTGTGGTGCGGGCGCTGGAGGTGAGGGTCTGGGCGAGGAGGGGGCGTGAGGAGTGGGGAGGGAAGAGATGGGGAACAGACTGGGGCCTGGGGACCCCGCAGGTAGAGGCTTTCAGAGGTTGACGGGGGGGGGGGGGGGGGGGGGGGTCAGAGACGCCAACTGGAATTTGCCTTATTGTGAGGAACCAAACAAACAAAACTTTAATTGTTACGAACAAAACTTAAAAAAAAAAAAAGGAACTAATCCGGGAAACACATAGGAATGGCCATCCAGGAGTTTGGAGGGCCGCTCAAAACATTTTGTATTATTATACTTACTTCTTGGGAGGGAGTCTTGTGAAGGTCAGAGAATAACTTTCAGGAATTGGATCTCGCCTTCCCTCATGTGGGTCTTGGGGATCGAACTTGCCTTGTCAGGATTGGCAGCAAGCGCCTTTACCCATTAAGCTATCTCTTTAGCCCTTGAAGAGAGCTTCTTGACCAGACAATATGAGAGTTAACAATTCCTCCTGGAGATTTTATGTGGAAGGGACAGGAAGTCTGAGGAAGAGATTTGCTCTTTCTGCATTAAAGGAAGGGTGTGTGGTGGCGAGTAGAGGATATGGGCCATAGGGTGTAGAGGGAATGCTGGAAGGTTTCACTGCAGGGCCTCAGACTCTCAGAGATGGAGCAGGAGAATGGCAAATTCTAGGACAGCCTGAGGTAATTGGGAGTTTCAGGTCTATCTCTTGTTCTTTGTCCCCCACCTGTATCCCCAAATTAAGCTGGAAGCCAGGCGGTGGTGGTGCAACCCTTTAGTCCCAGCACTCAGGAGGCAGAGGCAGGCAGATCTCTGTGAGTTCGAGGCCAGCCTGGTCTACAAGAGCTAGTTCCAGGACAGGCTCCGCCCCCCCAAAAAAGCTACAGATACAGAGAAACCCCCTCTCGAAAAAAACCAAAACAAAACAAAAAACAACTGTGTAGCCACCACATCTGGCTCATCATGCAATTTGGTAGCAGAGAATGTTTTATTTCGGGCACATTTAAGTAGTGGAATTTTTCACCGATTGAATCAGAACAAAACTGCTGAAATGTTCTTACATGTAATTAGTACATTTGAAAATGTTATGGTGTGTTAATGTTCTAAATATTTCTCTGTTCTCTAATAGAAGTATTAAAATGAATTTTAATGTTTGGAATATCAAGGAGATGCTCAGTATCCCCTCAGGCTCTGGGTAAGTTTCCTAATTATTTTCTTAAACATTTAAGTCCTGTGGTTTTATTGATGTCCTAGAAAATCTCATTCCTATAGCTGGAGTGACTGTTGAATAGTGCTAGAGGTATCCACATTGCCTCTCCTTTTCTTCTCTGACGGCTATTCCTTTCTATGCTGTCTTTTTTCTCCCACTTATTTTGATTAAAAAGGTGATGTCGTTGTAGGGGAGACAGCCAAGGGTAAAGTGTTTGCTTGTCAAGTGTGAAGACTTGCGTTTGAATCACTGGACCCATGTAAAAAGTTGAGCACAGTGACGTGTGTCTGATATCCCATCCATGATGAGATGGGAGATACAGACAGCTCTGGGAGCTCACAGGTGGGCCAGCTTGGCTCATGTGGCCAAGTTTGTTGGAAGGAGGCCACTTGTTGGTTCCTGGCTGCCCTTTGTTCTCCCAGCATTCAGCCTCGCTTTCCCTGCCTACCTAAATTCTGCCTGCCTTGCTATAGGTCCAAAGCAGTTTCTTTATTCACTAATGGTAATCACAGCACACAGAGGGGACTCCCACATCATAAGTTCCAATGAGAGATCGTGTCTCCAACAAAAGATGGAAGGCACTTAAGCACTCAGTGTTGTCCTCTGATTTCTGTGTTCACACACGCATATGTACACACCCATACATATACCTGCACCCACATGAATATACATGTTAACATCTACACAGACACACCCATAGGTAGTATCAATGTAGCTGTGTTTATCAGCTCTATATGCAACATTTCGGTCTTGGGACTGGATCTGTGAGAATCAGATATAGAGCCCCAAATCTTGAAAATGACCTGAATTAATTAAGCAATGCTTTTGGAATAGGAAGAAATAAAATCAGTATAGTGTTCAGATCTGTTTGTTTCTGCAATATAATTTGTAGCTGCTCTGAAGAGAAGAGCCAGTCCAGCTACCAGCAAGACCCAATAAAATACTGTGCATAGCCGTATGTATTATCCACTGAGGTTTTAGACTAGTGTCCACCAGGCTGAAATAAGCCTGCCATTTCTAAATTGGAGGAAATCTCCGAAAAGGAATTTAAATTGTTCTTTGTGTGCTTTCATAACTGGATAGTTTTTTTCCCCTTTCTAATACTTTCCCAAGGAGATTTGCCAATTTGATTTTAAAAAAGAAAAGAAAAATCTAGGGGTTAGAATGACAGCTCTGGTTAAGAGCTTTTGCAGAGGCCCCAGGTTCGGTTCCCAGAACCCACATGGTGGTTTACAACCACCTGTAACTCCAGTTCCAAGGAATCTGACTCCCTTAACTCCTTTGGCACTAAACATATGGTATATGGTATATATACATACATTCAGGCAACACTAAAATTAAGTAAATGTTATTTTAAAGCCTGCTCTTCTTTTTATTTCTATAAAAGGGGTTACTGTTTATACAGAGAGAGAAAACTTAGCTTTGTTTAATTCTATCATTTCTATCATTGCTTTAAGATACAATCTGATGCTGGGCTGGATGGTGGTGGCATATGGCATTTCATTAATCCCAGTATTTGGGAGGCAGAGGCAGGTGAATCTCTTGAGTTCCAGGACAGCTAGAGTTATACAGAGAAACCCTGTCTTGAAAAAAAAAAAGAAGAAGAAGAAAGAAAGAAAAAAGAAAAGAAAAATTTCGGAGATATATTCAGTCTAGTAAGGCTTATTTTGTAGTTAAAAATTTCTACATTTATTGTGTATGTGTGTATGTTTATGTTTATGTATATATGTATGTAGAAATCACAGAATATGTGGACAGTGTTGGTTCTTTCCTCTTACCATGTGAGCCTCGGGGATTGAACTTGGGGGCAAGCACTTTTACCCACTGAGCCATCTTGCTGGTCCCATTTCTTGTTTGTTTGTTTGTTTGTGTTTCAAGACAGGGTTTCTCTGTGCTGTCCTGGCTGTCCTGAAAGTCTCTCTATAGAACAGGCTGTCTTCGAACTCATAGAGATTCACCTGCCTCTGCCTCCCAAGTGCTGGGATTAAAGGCATGTGCAATCATCAACTGGCCCATTTCTTGTTTTGGGCTTTTGTTTTGTTTTGTTTCTCTTCCCCCCATCCGGAGACAGAGTTTCTCTGTGTAACAACACTGACTGTCCAGGAACTTGCTTTGTAGACCAGGCTAACCTACCTCTGCCTTCCTAGTGCTGGGATAAAAGGCTTGCACCATCATGCCTGACTCCGTTTCTTGTTTTTTAAGTTAAGGTTAACATAGCACAGGCTGGCAGGGGCAGTGGTGGCGCACGCCTTTAATCCCAGCACTCCAGAGGCAGAGGCAGGCAGATCTCTGTGAGTTCAAGGCCAGCCTGGTCTACAAGAGTAGTTCCAGGACAGGCTCCAAAGCTACAGAGAAACCCTGTCATGAAAAACTAAAACAAACAAACAAACCATAGCACAGGCTGGCTTTGAACTCCTTACATTTCCTGCTCCCATGTCCTAAGTGCCAACATTACAGCAGGAATCATAGACATTACCACGCCATGCTTTGTGGGTGTTTTGTTTTTCTTTTGAGGAAGGGTCTCTCCACATAGCCCTGGCAATTCTTTAGCTCACTGTGTAGACCAGTTCCTCCTTGAACTCACAAAGATCTGCCTACCTCTCTCTGCCTTCTGAGTTGTTGGGATTAAAGGCATGTAGTAAGCCCGTACCCATTCCAGGCTCATGTGTTTGTATTGTTATGGCTCCATCTCTTTCCAGTCCTGTTCTCCCTCCTACATTTTCTAAATGTTCACGAATATGTATTTATTAGGCTAAAAACTCACAAAAATAAGTAATAGAGTTTACTTTAAGTAAAGTTCTACTTTTTAAATTTATTATTTGTTGGGGGCACACATGTTATGGTATGTGTGTGAAATTCAGAGGAGCTGGTTCTCCTCTCCTACCTTTATGAATTACAGGTTGTCAGGTTACCAGGAGTGTGTAGCAAGTGCCTCTACCTGTTGAGCAATCTTTCCCTTACTTTTTTTTTGTTAAAGATTTATTTATTTATTACATATACAGTGTTCTGCTTGCATGTATACTTGCAGCCCAGAAGAGGCCACCAGATCTCATCACAGATGGTTGTGAGCCACCATGTGGTTGCTGGGAATTGAACTCAGGACCTCTGGAAGAGCAGTCAGCGCTCTTAACCTCTGAGCCATCTCTCCAGCCCTTTCCCTTACTTTTTTGTACTCAAAATTACTTTTGCCTGGGCGTGATGGCACACACCTTTAGGCCCAGCACTCGGGAAGCAGAAGCAGGTGGATCTATGTGAGTTTGAGGCCAGCCTGGTCTACAGAGCAAGTTCCCTGATGGCCAGGGCCACACAGAGAAAACAACAAACAAAAAAACAACAACAAAATTATTTTTGAAACCAGGTGGTAGTGGCAGAGGCCAGCCTCATCTACAGAGCAAGTTCCAGGACAGCCAGGGCCACACTAAGAAACTTTCTCTTAAAAAACAAAAATAAGCCGGGCGGTGGTGGCGCACGCCTTTAATCCCAGCACTCGGGAGGCAGAGGCAGGCGGATCTCTGTGAGTTCGAGACCAGCCTGGTCTACAGAGCGAGTTCCAGGACAGGCTCCAAAGCCACAAAGAAACCCTGTCTCGAAAAACCAAAAAAAAAAAAAAAAAAAAACCAAAAATAAAACCGGGCGGTGGTGGTGCACGCCTTTAATCCCAGCACTCGGGAAGCAGAGGCAGGCGGATCTCTGTGAGTTCGAGGCCAGCCTGGTCTACAAGAGCTAGTTCCAGGACAGGAACCAAAAAGCTACGGAGAAACCCTGTCTCGAAAAACATCCAAAAAAAATAATAAAATAAAATAAAAAATTATTTTTGAAATTTATCCATGTGTTTTTACATAAATCTAGCTTCTTCTAGCTGCTGCACAGGTGAAGTGCACAGTCTGTCTGTAGTTTATCTATTTGCTTAATGATGAACAGATTCAATTTTGGGGGGGTTGGTCTGCCTATTTTTGTCTCCCGAGTGCTGGGATTAAAGGCGTGCGCTGCCACTACCACCTGGCCAAATTAATTGTTTTTAAAAAGAGAATATCTCTTAATCCCTAAATATATTATAAACTTTGGTCCAAAAATATTTTTATAGCTCAAAATGCTGTAATACAAGGGATAGTTGTGTCAGTCCTTCTGTCTGAATTTCCATTTGATTGTTCTCCAGTTGTCAGAATCAAAATGTGGGGAATTCATAATTTTCCTGTGGTTCTTTTTAGGTCATAGAGGACTTAGAGGTCAAACAAACACACCCAGAGCTTCATAATAGAGAGACCCTGTCTCAAACAACAAGAAAACAAAAATGTGCTCTCCAGAATATTCTGAAATAGTAGCTGTGAGTTATAATTTCATTCGTTCAGGATGTTAACTTAATGTTTTCTTGCTTCGTTTCAGGATTACTAAACCATCTAACTGGAATAGTAATCAGACTGATTGTTCTTCTCTCAGTGATTCCCAGTTCCTCTTTGGATCTCAGTTTTGTTCAGAAAATTCAGAAATTCTGTCCACATCCTTGGATGCTGGTGCCTACTCAAGACATCCAAAACAAACACAACAGAGCTCTGTAGATGTGAGTCTGATTTCCAATAGTTAGATTTTTCTTTTTCTTTTTTTTTTTTTTCGAGACAGGGTTTCTCTGTGGTTTTGGTTCCTGTCCTGGAACTAGCTCTTGTAGACCAGGCTGGTCTCGAACTCACAGAGATCCGCCTGCCTCTGCCTCCAGAGTGCTGGGTTTAAAGGCGTGCGCCACCACCGCCCAGCCTAGATTTTTCTTTTTGAGACAGAACCTTGCTGTGTATGCCAGCCTAAACTCCATCCTTGTGTTTCAGCCTCCAGGCTCTTCAAGTTATAGGTCTAAGCCTCCACCCAAGCTCTGATTTCTGAAATTTCTCTGCACATATTTCATAGTTCTTATGGACATAAACTAAAAAGAGAATTATTGTGTTGGAATATGAACATGCTTTAGTATTGTACTCTGAAGATTACTATCCTAAATGGATTAGTGCTTGATTGATGCTGTTTTGTTTTGTATTGTTTTTGAGTCAGAGTCTCACTATGTATGTAGCCTTGGCTGTCCTGGAAATCCTTATATAGGATTTATATATATAAGGATTCTTATATAGACCAGGCTAGTCTTTTTAAAGATTTATTTATTTATTATGCATACAACATTCTGTCTCCATGTATGCCCGCATACCAGAAGAGAGCGCCAGATCTCATTACAGGTGGTTGTGACCCACCATGTGGTTGCTGGGAATTGAACTCAGGACCTCTGGGAGAGCAGCCAGTGCTCTTAACCACTGAGCCATCTCTCCAGCCCCAAGGTAGTCTTGAATATAGAGATCTGCCTGCCTCCTCCTGAGTATTGGGATTAAAGGCATCCACCACCATTCTCAGCTGATTCATGACTTACTTATTTAACTAAAAAAAGAGAGTCTGGAATCTAAAACACTTACATGGCCAGGCAGTGGTAGCAAACACCTTTAATCCCAGCAGTAAGCCAGAGGCAGGCAGATCTCTGAGTTCAAGGCCTGTCTGGTCTACAAAGTTCCAGGATAGCCAGGCTTTATACATAAACCTTGTCTTGAAAAAAACCAAAACAACCAAAAATCACTTACATGTACAGTTTCTTTTATTGCCAAAACAACATAGTAGTGTCAATCCCTTGATCATTTGTTTTTGGGAGGAACAAATATTCATATTTCCCAACCTAATCATTTACTATTACGAAAATTCATAAGAAACAATGGCTTTTGTCAGATAAATTTGTTTGTTTTCTTACACAAAGTCTCACTATGTAGCCTTAGCTAGCCTGGAACTCACTATGTAGACCTGGTTGGCCATGAATTTGCAGAGATCCATCTTCCTCTTGCTTGAGAAGGCTGGGATTCAAGGCATGTACCATCATGCTTGGTGCTTTTGTAAGACAGAAGTAAAGGGGGTAGGAAGAATGACTCTGGGACAAGTGCTTGCTTTATAAACTTGAAGACCTGAGTTAGAATTCCTAGAGCTCTTGTAGAATTCAGGCTTCGCAGCACATATCTGTAACCTTGCACTCATACAAGGAGAAGGAAGGGAGAGACAGGAGTCCAGCAGGCCAGCTAGCTCTCATATGCAGCAGTGAAAAACAAAGAGCAACTCTTCTGCTGGGTGGAGGTGGCACACACCTTTAATCCCAGCACTCGGGAGGCAGAAGCAGATGGATCTTTGTGAGTTCGAAGCCATCCTGATCTGCAGAGGACAGCTAAGGCTGTTATAGTGATATTTTATTTATGTTTAAATAAATAAAGCGTGTGTAAAGATCAGAAGGGCAAAACTAAGCCACTAGATGTCAAGCAGTGGGTGGCACACACCTTTAATCACAGGATTTGGGAGATAGTGACAGATGGATCTCTGAGTTCAAAGCTAGCCTGGGCTACACAAGAACAATGCTGAAACAAATCCTCCAGGTGGTGGTGGTTCACACCTTTAATCCCAGCACTAGAGGGAATAGAAAATGGGAGGAGAAAGAGATTTTGTTTATGCTGCTTAGGCTGCGGTCGCCCAGCCTTGGTAGAGGTAGGACTTCTCTACTGACTTGGCTGCTTTGCTTTTCTGGTTTTCAGGTTGAACCTCAATATCTGTCTCTGGGTTTTTATTATTTATGCTACAAACCCTGTCTCAAAAAAAAAAAAAGAAAGAAAGAAAAGAAAGAAAGGAAAGAAAAAGATAAAAAAAGAGCAGCTCTTCCTCCCATACCTGAGGTTGTCCTCTGACCTCTACACTTGTGCCGTGGCATACACATGACACACTCATAGACACACAAACACAGACATGATTGACTAAGTAAAAATAAGCCCTTTGACTTAAAGAAAGAAATAAAGTGACAAATTTTATTTTTTCAGTGTTGTTGGTGGAACCCAAAGCCTAGCAGAACAAGTGTTTTACCACTGAACTATAGCCACAGCTCTCTAATTTTTAAAACATTTATTTTTGAGACTGGAGATAGGGCCCAGCAGTTAAGACCATTGGCTGCTCTTCCAAAGGACCCAGGTTCAATCCCAGCACCCACATGACAGCTCACAACTTTCTGTAACTCCAGTTCCAGATGATCTGACACTCTCACTCTGACATACAAATGCAGGCAAAACATCATAAAAGGAAATAAAAATTAAAACATGTGTTCTTTAACAGTTTCATATATGTATAATGTACTTTGATTCCCATTATCTTCTCTCATCTGCTCTCCTTCCCACAGAACCCCTTCTTCCCAGCAAGTTTCCCACTACCTTCCTGTGCTGTTTTATGGCCCATTATAGCTTCTTAGTGTGTCTTCACTTCTGAGATAGTTTCATAATTGTCCTGGCTGGCCTCAGACTCACTGAATAGCCAAACTAACTGAACCATGAACTTTTTTATTATTAGTTTTACACTTCTGTATTTATTATTTACTGTGTTTTGGAGCACAGAGGACACCTTGGTAGAGATGGCTTTGCCCTACTGTGTAGATTCCAGGGATGGAGCACAGGTTGGCAGTCTTGGTGGCAAGCATCTTTATCAGCTGAGCCATCCTCTAAGTGTGACTTTGAACTTCTGAATCTCCTAGGACTACAAGCTTGCACCACTACTTACTTTGTTATATTTTTATGAAAAGTAGTTACATTTATTTATTTGCGGGGGTTGAGTTACACAAAGAAATCCTATCTTGAAATAACAAAAACAAACAAAAAAGAATGAATATAATCACAATTTTTTTTTTTTTTTTTTTTTTGGTTTTTCGAGACAGGGTTTCTCTGTGGTTTTGGAGCCTGTCCTAGAACTAGCTCTTGTAGACCAGGCTGGTCTCGAACTCACAGAGATCCGCCTGCCTCTGCCTCCCGAGTGCTGTCACAATTTTTTATACATACATAAATATACATTAATTCTCAAAAATAAAACTAAAAAATATTTACTTAGCATACAGAGTATTATGCATCCTTGTGGCATCATCAAGTAAAATTTGTTGAGTCTCCCTCCCTTCCCCCCTTCTGCATCCTCTAGCCTTCTTAGACATCTACACCCTTTGCACTTTTCCCATTTTCTTGTCGCATTTCTCCTGCTGTTCTCCACTCCTTCTACATTCTTCTTCCCTCCTAGTTTCGTAGATTATACCCACACTCACTCCCACACAAACATATAGATGAGCATTAAAAACTGGGGGCTGGAGAGATGGAGCAGTGCTTAAGAGCACCGTCTCCTCTTCCAGAGGTCCTGAGTTCAATTCCCAGCAACTACATGGTGGCTCACAACCATCTGTAATGAGATCTGGCGCCCTCTTCTGGCATGTGGGCATACATGGAGACAGAATGTTGTATGCATAATAAATAAATAAAATTTAAAAAAAATGGAATCTGGCTGGGCAGGGGTGGCACACACCTTTAATCCCAGCTTTCAGGAGGCAAAGGAGGTGGATCTCTGTGAGTTCAAGGCCAGCTTGGTGAACAGAGGGAGTTCCAGGACAGACAAGGCTACACAAATACTATCTCAAGAAAAACAACAAACCCACAAAATAAAACCTTCTGAGATCTGCATGTGAAGAGAATGTGAGATGTTTGTCTTTTTGAATCTGTGATTTTGTTGCTGCTGTTTTGCTTTTGTTTTTTGGACAGAATTTTACTGGTCTAGAACTCATTGTGTAGCCCAGGCTAGCTTAAAATTCAAGGCTGTTCTACCCAGTCTGTTGTGCACCATGAGGAAGGAGAGAGACAACACTTATGGGTTCCAAAGACTTTAATAAAATCACCACATAATCAGGGTCATCTGGGTCACTGATGGGTCAGGGCTGCGGAACAAGGACCTGGAACCTTGTTTCCTCACCAGGATTTATAAGTACAAGAATTACAAACATTTGTTGCCAAGTTACAGATACAATTTTCGCCAATGAGGAGTCAAAGATTAGGGACTTTCCTTCTGTGTTCCATCACTGTCAACAGACACAAAATGGAAACTTTTTAGTCCATCCAAAGAGATTCATTTGTTCTTTCTATTGTTAGGAACAGCCATGATATTTTAAAGAGCTTGGTTGGGGAACAAGCTATTTCCATTGTTTAGGGAGGAGGTTGATCAGCCATTGGAAAGTTCTCAGCTCCCCTTGGACATGGGAACCTGAGCTTTGTTTCACCCTACAGGTAAAATCAAGTCTGAAGTCAAAATGACAGCACCTAGGCCAAGTTGCTTTTGCCTGCTTCCTTCAAAGGCCATCCTCCTGCCTCTGCTTCCTGAGTACTGTGATTCAAGATATGTACTTGTATCCCTGCTCTCTATTTCTCTTTTGGCAGGGGGGTTTGAATTACATTTAATTTTATATTTGGACTTACCTGTATCATTTGATGTAGTGAATGAGTGCTTTAGGTTAGTGAAGCATTATATGTATGATCTCAGTACAAAAATTGATGCTAACCTGGGCAGTGGTGGCTATCTCCTTCAATCCTAGCACTTGGGAGGCAGAAGTGGGCGGATCTCTGCCAGCCTGGTCTACAGAGCAAGTTCCAGGACAGCCAAGGAACCCCTTGGTGTGATACAAAAAGTCAAAACCAGGGACTGAAGAGATGGCTCAGCAGTTATGAGTACTGGATGCTCTTCCACAGGTCCCAAGTTCAATTCCCAGCACACACATGGCAGCTTATAATTGTCTGTAATTCCAGTTCCAGGGGACCTGACACTCATGGCAAAAATACCAATACACATAAAATAAAATATAAAACAAAAAGCCAGGCAGTGGTAGCACACGCCTTTAATCCTAGCACTCAGGAAGGCAGAGGCAGGTGAATCTCTGTGAGTTTGAGGCCAGCCTGGTTTACATGGGAGTTCCAGGACAGTCAGAGATACACAGAGAAACCCTGTCTCAGATAACCATAAATAATAATAATAATAATAATAAAACCAAACCAAAACCCAACAACAACAAAAAAGCCAAAAGAAAATTGACGCTAGTGATATGATGGGAAAAATGCACTTCCACTGGACAGTGATGGCGCCTGCCTTTAATCCCTGCACTTGGGAGGCAGAGGCAGGCTGATCTCTGTGAGTTCGAGACCAGCCTGGTCTACTAGAGCTAGTTCCAGGATAGGCTCCAAAGCTACAGAGAAACCCTTTCTGGAAAAAAAACAAAAACAAAAAAACACTTCCTGAATGTTTAGAATATGATTTTTCTAAGAAGTGCAGGAAATGACTCTTCATAATGCAACCTGTATACTTTCTAGGCCTTGTGGAAGTTATCAACAGGTTTTGAGTTCAACAGAAAAAAAAATAGTGATTTGAGTTAAATATATTAACGTGAAGCTTTAATATCACATATCAGAGAGTGAGTAAATAATTTTTTGTTGTTTCCTATAAATGTATTTAGTTGGTTTTCAACAATTTTAGCTGAATTTTTAATATTTCTGCATTGATAAAGCTGAAACTGTATTAACTTAGAAAGCTGCTTATTATAATTTCCCGGTTGGTACAAATAATGAAAAGCTACATGCTGTATCTTCAACCATATGCTTGGTACTTAAATACATTAAATTCTGGCCGGGCGGTGGTGGCGCATGCCTTTAATCCCAGCACTTGGGAGGCAGAGGCAGGTGGATCTCTGTGAGTTCGAGACCAGCCTGGTCTACAAGAGCTAGTTCCAGGACAGGCTCCAAAACCACAGAGAAACCCTGTCTTGAAAAAGGAAAAAAAAATTCTGCATTGTACAGAGAATAGTGGATGGAATTTGATGTTGATTTTTTTTTCCATTTAACAGAATGAACCTAGTATTTTCACAAAATACCAGACAAAGCCCCAGTTGTTTGGAAGTGATACAAAGGATGAAGATTTATTTTCTCTTCCTTTGCCAGTTGGAAAATCAAAAGGACTCCTGAAACAGTTTGAGGAGAAAAAACGAAGGGCAACAGACAAATGTGACAGGTATACACATTTTAAGAGGATGAAAAGCTTATGTTTTCTGAAGAAAACAAATGTACTATCAATAATCAAATAATTCAATTTTAGTATAATAGAATGTATTAGTCAGGGTTGTGCAAAGGAAACAGATTCAGTATTACACACACACACACACACACACACACAGTGGGGGATCAATGACAGAGAAAGATGCAGAATCAGATATAGTATGGAAGTCCTATAAGTCTGCCATATGTAAGCTAGAGAGCCAGAGAAGCCAGTGATATAATAAGTATGAGTCAGAGAGCCATAGAAGGAAGGGAAAAGATGGCTGCTCATTATGTTTTGAAGTTTGATCTAGGAGCTCCAGTGTTTGGGAGCAAAAGAAACTGGATGTCTCAACCAATGAGGAGAATCTTCCCTTTTTTGTCTCTGGTCTCCAGGTTCATTATTTAGAATAATGCACTTGCACATTGATAAAGATTAGCTTGGGTTTTGTGTTTTAAGGGTACCATGTAGCCCATCCTCCATCTATACATCAACAGTAGTGCTTACCCAGCACAGCAAGTCTGTAGGTTTATTCTCTATCTCCACAAAATAAACAAACATTAAATGAAAAAGGAGGAGGCAGCATTGGAAGCTGGATGTTGGGAGTGTGGGGTAAGCTCCAGTCAGCTTTTAGAAGGCAGAAGCAAGGGCTGGAGAGATGGCTCAGCCGTTAAAGGCTAGGCTCACAACCAAAAATATAGAAGGCAGAAGCAGGAGGGTCAGGAGTTCAAGGTCATCTTTGGCAACACAGTGAGTTCTACTTGCAGGTCAGTTTGAACTACTGCAGACTTTATCTCAGAACAAAAAGTGGCTTGGTAGCACTTTAATCCCAGCACTAGGGGGAAGGGGCAGTGGGATCTCTGTGGATTCAATGCCAGCCTGGTCTACAAAGGGAGTTCCTGGACAGCTAGAGCTGTTACACAGAGAAATCCTGTCTTTTTTTGGGGCGGGGGTGGGGTGTTTTGAGACAGGGTTTCTCTGTAGCTCTCACCACCCAGTGAGAAATCCTGTCTTAAAACAAAACAAAACTGCAAAGTGCTCTTGCTTCTCTTTGCTTGTGTGTGTATTAGTTTCATTTCTGTTGCTGTCGAAGATAAGATACCCCAACAGAAGTAACCCTAAAGAAGGAAGAGTTTGGCTCATGATTTTAGGTTACAGTCCATCTTCATAGAGAAGTCACAAGAGCAGGAACTGATAACAGTGCAGCCACAGTTGGAGAGCTGAGAGGAATGCATACGTGTATGTCCTCGCCCATTCTATACAGTCTGGGACCCACACCTGGGGAATGCTGCTGCCCACTTTTAGACTCCATCCCATGTCAACTAATGTTGAGAGCTGCCTGCCTCTGCTTCCTGAGTGCTGGGATTAAACATGTGCACTGCCACCACCACTGGGCTAGATGACTGTGGTAACTGAGTTTTGTCTTGTGTAATGCTGGTACTTGAACATAGGGCTTCTCAAACATTAGGAAAGTGTTCTTACTACTGAATGATACCCTTAATTCAGTGTAATATATGAATTCTTAAGTCAAAGTTTAAGCCTTTTTTTTTTTTTTGAGATAGGCTCTCACTATATAGATCAAGGTGACTTGAAACTGCCTCTTCCACTCCTCCACCCTCCCAATGATGGGACTAGAGGAATGAGCCACCAGCTGGACATGGACAGAATTTCTTTTCTTTTTTTTTTTTTAAATATTTATTTATTTACTTATTATGTATACAATATTCTGTCTGTATGCCTGAAGGCCAGAAGAGGGCGCCAGACCTCTTTACAGATGGTTGTGAGCCACCATGTGGTTGCTGGGAATTGAACTCAGGACCTTTGGAAGAGCAGGCAATGCTCTTAACCACTGAGCCATCTCTCCAGCCCCAGAATTTCTTTTCTTTTTTTCTTCAAGACAGGATTTCTCTGTGCAACCTTGGCTGTCCTGGAACTTGCTCTGCAGACCAGATTGACCACAGAAACTGTATTAAAACACTGCTTGGCCATTAGCTCTAACTTCTTATTGGCTAACTCTTACATATTGGTTTAACCCACCTCCATTAATCAGTGTATTGCCACATGGCAGTGGCTTACCAGAGATTCTAACCTGCGGTTCATCTCCAGCGGAGGATCCATTGCTCCGCCTCCTTTCTTCCTCCCAGAATTCAGTTCTGTTTTCTCCGCCTACCTAAATTCCACCCTATCAACTAGGCCAAGGCAGTTTATTTATTAACCAGTGAAAGCAACACACAAACAGAAGGAACTTCTACACCAAGTACAGAATTCTAAGAATAGGAAAAAGAGGGTTTGTACATTGACTACATTTGTGTGGTTAGTTAGAGTTTGTATTGGAGTCTAGCTTGCTGAATTAAAGCGAATGGAATCTCTTAGACATAGAAATAACATCCAAGGTGACTGGATCAAAGGGGAAACCATGGTTGTGTAAAATCCAGAGCCTGCCATTTCCAGCTTCCCAAGCTGGCGGCTTTGTTTCCGCTGATGCCTAAGTGGCCTTTTCCAGAATTCAAGGCACCCACTATATATTCTATATATCAAGATTATAGGGCCAGATGATGAGTCACCCAGGATAACAGTTTGTGAGAGAGTTATGACCAATAGCTAATACACTGCTGAGGTGTTTTGGGATGAATCCCGTTATGGAAAGAGAAGGTCACAAGTAATACTTCACAAGTATTACAGAATGACAGCAACTATTCAAAAGGCAGGTTTCCAAAGCTTTACAAATTGGGTGTAACCTAGGGATTTTGCCAGCTGTACTCTTCACTGTATAATGGGGTCACCAGCAAAGCCCAATGGTAGAGACACACGTCTTTAATCCAGCACTCAGGAGGCATAGGCAGGTGGATCTTTGAGTTAGAGGCCAGCCTGGTCTACAGAGTGAGTTCCAGGACAGTCAGGACTGTCCTGCAGAGAAACCCTATCTTGGAAAAGTAAAAAAAAAAAAAATTTCCTGGGCTAGGACCAACAAGATGGTGTTTCCTGCTAGGCCTAACAATGATTTGAGTTCACTCCCTAATACCTATATGGCAGAAAGGGAACCGACTCTCACAATTTGTCCTCTGACTGCCACACATACAAATATATACACACAAATAATAAACACAAAGAAAAAAACAAAAATTGAAGTTAAACATGGTATTTTTCTTCCAAATTCTCAGCATTTAGAAGGCTGAGGTAGGAGCATTACCAGGAATTGCAGGGAAGCCCAATGGTAGAGACACATGTCTTTAATCCAGCACTCAGGAGGCATAGGCAGGTGGCTCTTTGAGGCCAGCCTGGTCTACAGAGTGAACTAATATCTAATCCTGTGTTTAAAAACACTGACTGAGAGACTGGAAAGATGGCTCAGCAGGGAAGAGCATTTGCTGCTCTTGTAGAGGACACAGGTTCAGTTCTCAGCACTCATGACAGCCATAGCTGTAACTCCAGTGTTCTCTTCTGACCTCCACAGGCACTGGGCATATACATGGTGCACTAAATACTTACATGCAGACTAAATACTCATTTACATAAAAATATAAATATTTAGAAAAAAACCCTGAAAGTACGTTGAATGAGTAAAGGAACTTGCCATGATATGTGATGATTTGATTTTCATCCCTGGTGGGATTTCCACATGGTGGAAAGAAAAAACTGACTCTTGCAAGTTGTCCTCAGACCTCCACTCCACAATGTATTATATATACACACACTCTCTCTTTCTCTCTAAATGATTGGAGTAAAAAAAAAAAAGTCAGGGGGTCAATTGGTGGCTCAGTGAGTAAAAATATTTGCTGACAACCCTGACAACCTGACATTAATCCTCAGAATCTCCATGGCTGAAGTTTTCCTCTAGCTTCCACATGTATGATATGCATTTGTACATGCACACACGGAATATATGTAAATTTAAAACTTTAAGGAATATAAAATTTGTAGTTAAAAAAACTATTTGTGTATGTACATGATTTTGTTTGTTTGTTGTTTTGAGAAACAGTCTCACTATGTAGCCATCTTTGGCCAAGAACTCTCTATGTAGACCAGGCTGGCCTTGAACTCACGAAATCCACCTGCTTTTAAAATCAGGAAGAACTGGGGAGATGGCTCAACACTAGTTGCTCTTGCAGAGGACTCAGGTTTGGTTCCCAGCACCCACATGGTGGTTCACAAACATCCTTGCTCTAGTTTCAGAAGACCCAACAGCCTCTTCCTCAGGCACCAAGCATGCATATGGTGCACAGAGACACATAAAGCAGACAAAGTACCCACATCGAATAAATAAATCTAAAACAATAGAAATAAAAGGAAATCGGGAGGCAGAGGCAGGCGGATCTCTGTGAGTTCGAGGCCAGCCTGGTCTACAAGAGCTAGTGCCAGGACAGGCTCCAAAGCTACAGAGAAACCCTGTCTCGAAAAACTAAAAAAAAAAAAAAAAAAAAAAAAAAGGAAAATAAAGAAGCAACAGAATGGAAGGAAGAAAAATGTGATTTGCATTAGAAATCAGAGTTTTGATGTTTTTCAGGTAGAGTCTCCAACTCTGATCAAGCAATGTTTTGATGCTATGCTAGATGAACACTTGCCATAATCAGCTATTATATGCTATTTCAACATGGCACAAAGATTTACTCTCCCCTTTTTTTCTTAACTCTAGTGACATGCTGTACAACTTTGTTTCTCATTTTCAAGAAGTCATTCACAAGGTAGGTAGAACTAAGTTTCAGAGAATTAGAGCATCGTGTATCTTAGGCATGGTAATCATTGTAGTGCCGTCAGCAAATGCAGAATAGCAGCATGTTTGCCATTTTATAATTCAGTTTTTGTTCTCCAGGTCAGTGAGATAAGACAACAGTTTGTGCTTTCTTTTGTCTCTTTCTTTCTTTCTTTCTTTCTTTCGTTCTTTCTTTCTTTTTTCTTTCTTTCTTTCTTTTTGTTTTTGAGACAGGGTTTCTCTGTAGTTTTTGGTGCCTGTCCTGGAACTAGCTCTTGTAGACCAGATTGGCCTTGAACTCACAGAGATCCACCTGCCTCTGCCTCCCGAGTGCTGGGATTAAAGGTGTGCTCCACCACCGCCCGGCATCTTTTTCTTTTTTAAAATTTATGATCCTTTCATGTATTTGGGTGTTTTGCCTATATGTGTGTGCACCATATGTGTGCAGTACCCTTGAATGCCAAAAAAGGGGTGGGATCTCCCGGAATTGGAGTTTACGCAGGGTTGTAAACCAAGATGTGGGTGGTGGGAATCAAACCTTAGTCTTCCGAAAGAACATTGCTCCCAATCTGAGCCACTTCTCCAGTTCCATGTGATTTCTTTCTTAATTTTGAGTTTCTTAGTTGCAGACATCTGTGGAAAAGTCTGAGGAACATCTCAGTATGAGAAGCCAATCTATTTTGGATTCTTTGGAAACTATAGCCAAGACATGTGAGTGTCCCATGTTTATATTTGGTTCTATTTTAAACATTTTGTTATCGTCTCAAGGTTGATGTTATCAGCAGAGGGCACTAGTGAGTCATGAATGTGACCCTTCTGACCCTAGCCAGATTTCCTTGTTTAAGATGGGAGGGTGCTATGTGACAGTACTTTTTTGTTTGTTTGTTTTTACTTTGTTTTGTGACATAGCCCTGGTTTCTTTGCTACTTACTACCAGGCTGGTCTGGAACTCACAGACATCTGCCTACCTCTGCCTCCTGAGCGCTGGGATTAAAGGCGCGCATGTGCCATCATCGCACAGCTGCAGTTTTTTGTTTGTTTGTTTGTTTGTTTGTTTTGAGAAAAGTTTGTGTAGGCCTGGCTGTCCTGGAACAGCTAAATGAGTCATAAAAGTATATATTAGAGAACATCACTTAGGTATTTCAGACTTTAGAATGTAGATTGAACCAACATGATAGTATATGTATGTTCTGGGAATCGAACCCAGGTACTCAGAAAGAAGAGAAGTACACTTAACCATGAAGCCATCTCTCTAGCTCATGCCAACACTTGATTCCCATGGTGGCTTTTGTGTAGCACTACTCAGTGATCTTGCTGTCTGAGGGTAGGGTGGCTCTGCCAGCCTTCTCACCTCATGCCTGAAATGAATCAGCAGCTCTTTAGTCTCATGTGGCTTGCCCACTGTGCTGTCTATAGACACACGCCCCCTTAGGAGTTAGAAATATTCCAGTCACCTGCTGCTCGCTCTTCTCACTGCCTTGGTTTCAGTGAAAGTTGTTTTGTGGTGAATCAGCCTTGGTCTCAATGTCAGTTATAGTGTGAGGTTTGTAGAATCCCCTCCCCACCAATTAAGTGTTGTACATGTAAATGAATGCTCTTATAAACAGTCAACACATTCTTCTTAGCTAAATACTGCTCTAGAATTTTCTGGGAAAGATAGATAATTGTGCATCTGTACTTATTTGCATTTCTGCTTATTTTTTATTTTAAACTAATTCAAGTCATCTGATTCACGTTCCAAGGGATGAATTACTCATGATTTACAAAAATCAATGCCTTTCTGTGGCTCATAAAGTAATTCCCATCTGTCTGAATAGAGGCATGGTACTGTTTATCTACTGATCTCCAGCCTGGGCTACACACAGAGCAGCTGTCCATCTGTTAGAAGTGTCAGAGCCAGGACTGTTACCCCACAAGACTAGCAGGGCTGAGAATGTACAGTGATAGAGTAACTCATTTGTCGGTGTCCCGGCCAGGCTTCCCATTGCTATGACAGAAGAAGTAATAGGAATGCTGGGAGGCGGTGGCGCACGCCTTTAATCCCAGCACTCAGGAGGTGCAGGTGAATTTCTGTGAGTTTGAGGCCAACCTGGTCTATAGAGTAAATTCCACCACCCCGCTTTCATTTGTTTATTATTTTTTCTTTCGGCATCAGGCATTTTACTCAAAGTATTTTATATAATTTGGAAAGATATAGGTACTTCTCTTTGTATTTTTGGGGAAAACTTATTAGGAAAAAAATTTGTCCTTGTTTTGTATTTAGTTCAAGAGACTGCGCAGGTCCAGCGTGATCTGATGTTTGAGGCCACGCGAGACAAAGGCAATATGGAACAGGCCATCCTTGAGATACAGAAGAAATCTGAAGCCGTAAGTATAAATACAAACCCTTGCTTTGCCTTGCCTTCTTACCTAGGCTTATCTTGAGGTGCTGCACTCAAGTGATCTTACCCCAGCCTTCTGATTGCAGATACATGCCGTGCCCATGTGTGCTTTTGGATTTGTCTCTAAGACCAAGAAAGACATTTAATGTCTGAGAAATTTTCATCTAAGACCAGAAACTGGTATGGTTCTTTTTTCAGTAAATCAAGATACAGCCTATCCTCAGGGTTCCCTGGCAGTGTGTGTACCCAGGACTTTCTCACAGTGTATCTATACTTGCTTATTCTGTGAGAGACGAGCTAATAAGTTTTCTGTCCCCTGAGGATAGGTTTCTCTGCCAATGCAGTAAGCCAGATCAAATAGAATTGAAAAAGTATAACAACAGGTTTATTTGAGCAAAGGAACTCCTGAGAAGACTTCCAGTCCCAGAGATTGAGGCTGGAGAAGCAGCACCCCCGCAACCCCTGAACTAAAGCAAGAGATGATATAGTTTATAGGGTGATGACATGTCCACCACAGGCTAGGTTTGTGACTAAGAATGGTCTAGGTGGGGACTTGGGCTGCTGGCAGCAACATGGGAGGAAGTTGCTATAGTCACCAAGAGTGTGGGATTGGACTTTTTGGCATTTTTTTCTTTGTTTCTCTGAGAGGGTGGGATTTTGAGAGAGACACACACACACACACACACACACACACACACGGGGGCGGGGGCAGGCAGGAATGGGCTTTCTAGATCAAGCAGGAGTCAGGTGGAGGTTCCAACCGACCATGAATCTTTATCTATTGGTTGGTTCTCTTACTTTTTTTGTTTTTATATGTTGAAATGGAGGTCTCTCTCCTGTAGCCCAGGCTGCTTAGAAACCACTGTGTAGCTCAAGCTAGCCTCAGACTCAAGCTAATCATCTTTTTAATTTATTTAGTTATATATTTATTGGGTTTTTTTTTTTTGAGACAGCATTTCTCTGTAGCTTTGGGGCCTGTTCTGGAACTAGCTCTTGTAGATCAGGCTGGCCTCAAGCTCACAGAGATCCACCTGCTTCTGCCTCCTGAGTGCTGTAATTAAAGGTGTGTACCACCACTACACGGCTCTTCTTTTTAATTTATATTTTAAAATTAATTTTTTATATATAGAAGTGATTTGCACACTTATATGTCTCTGTACCATGTTTGTTTCTGGTTCCCATAGAAGTCAAAAGAGGGCATTAGATCCCCTGGAATTGGAGTTACAGATGGTTGTGAGCTGTCATGTGAGTGCTGGGTACTGAACAAGAGTATTCTTTTTTTATTATTATTATTGATATTTATTGAGCTCTACATTTTTCTCTGCTCCCCTCCCTGCCTTTCCCCTCCCTGCTTCAATCCTCCTCCAAGGTCCCCATGCTCTCAATTTATCAGGAGATCTTGTCTTTTTCTACTTTCTACTTCCCATGTAGATTGGATCTATGTAAGTCTCCCTTAGTGTCCGCATTGTTGTCTAAGTTCTCTGGGATTGTAGTTTGTGGGCTGGCTTTCTTTGCTTTATGTTTAAAAGCCACCTATGAGTGAATACATGTGATAATTGTCTTTCTGTGTCTGGGTTACCTCACTCAAAATAATGTTTCCTAGTGCCATCTATTTTCCTGCAAAATTCAAGCTGTCATTATTTTTTTCTGCTGTGTAGTACTCCATTGTGTAAATTATCACATTTTTCTTATTCATTCTTTGATCGAGGGGCATTTAGGTTGTTTCCAGGTTCTGGCTATGACAAACAAAGCTGCTATGAGCATAGTTGAGGACATGTCCTTGTGGCACGATTGAGCATCCTTTGGATATATACCCGAAAGTTGTATTACTGGGTCTTGAGGAAGGTTGTTTCCTAATTTTCTGAGAAATCGCCACACTGACGTCCAAAGGGGTTGTATTCCCACTAGCAATGCAAAAGTGTTCCCTTTTGCCCACAACCTCTCCAGCATAAGTTGTCATCAGTGTTTTTGATCTTGACTGTTCTTACAGGTGTAAGATGGAATCTCAGAGTTGTTTTGATTTGCATTTCTCTGATGACTAAGGAGCATTTCCTTAAGTGTCTTTCAGCCATTTTAGATTCCTCTGTTGAGAGTTCTCTGTTTAGGTCTGTATTCCATTTTTTTATTGGACTATGTGATCTTTTGGTGTCCAATTTCTTGAGTTCTTTGTATATTTTGGAGATCAGACCTCTGTCTGATGTGGGGTTAGTGAAGATCTTTTCCCATTCTGTAGGCTGTCGTTTTGTCTTGTTGACCGTGTCCTTTGCTTTACAGAAGCTTTTCAGTTTCAGGAGGTCCCATTTATTAATTGTTTCTCTCAGTGTCTGTGCTGCTGGGGTTATATTTAGGAAGTGGTTCCCTGTGCCAATACATTCAAGTGTACTTCCCACTTTCTCTTCTCTAAGGTTCAATGTGACTGGCTTTATGGTGAGGTCTTTGATCCATTTGGATTTGAGTTTTGTGCATGGTGATAGATATGAGTATATTTTCATTTTTCTACGTGTTGATATCCAGTTATGCCAGCACCACTTGTTAAATATGCTTTCTTTTTTCTATTTGATATTTTTTGCTTCTTTATCAAAGATCAGATGTTCGAAGGTGTGTGGATTGATATCCGGTCTTCTATTTGGTTCCATTGGCCCTCCTGTCTGTTCTTATGCCAATACCCTGAACAAGAGTATTCTTTCAGCGTGCTTTTAGCCTCTGCTCTTAGTTACTGAGGTGTCTTTCTAGCCCATCATGCTGGTCCTCTTGACTAGTCATCTAAGTCTGGGATGAGAGTGTGAGCTACCATACCCACACCTGTTATCACGTTTTACTGTGACCATCACTTTCCTCTTTCTCACTACCTTTCCCAGAGACAGACTGAGTTCATGGAGATGAAATCCAACCTGAAGAACCTTGAAGTTCTAGTTGCACAGCAGAGTAAGGACTTCCAGCAGCTTTCTGAGAAGCTGGGCCAGCTCAATGTGCCTGGTGTCATAGAAGAGCTGAAAAAACTCATCTCTGCCCCTCAGGTAGCTGGGCATCTGAAAGACAGCACCTCCCAGACCTCACCAACTCTGACCCAGAGCCTCCATCTTACCAGACAAGAAAAATGCACCTCTGAGGAGCCATCTGCTCCACAGGGCCAGGTGTCTCCTTCAGAGAATCCCAGTAGGAATTCCCAGAGGCCTAGGGAGCTTGGTGTCCGGGATGAAGGAGCATTGCCAACAGATGGGCCCCACAGAGAAAATGAATGTTTGAAGAACAAAAACCTGCAGACTTGCTGCAAGAACTGGGTTATCACCACCAGAAACCTCAGTAACCACTGCTCTGGCCCCCCAAGCCAGAAGACTGGCCGTGACCAGGATCTAATTGCCCAAGAAGCCTCACAGCTGGACTTAAATAAGTTTGAATTCAGAATGAAGAATGTCTGCCCCCAAAATGAAAACGAAAGCATGTGTTTTGACCAGTTTGAAGAGTCAGCAACTGAACAGAAAGGCAAGACCCGAAGAAAGGGGAGGAAAGGCAAGCAGCAACCCAGGAAATCACAGAGAAGCAGGCTTCCAGCTAGGAAGAAAGAACAAACTCCAAGGAAGGCCTGTGATTCCATCTCAAAGCATCGCAGTCCCCAGTCTCCAGTTTCTAGCCCACAAAGGCCCCTCATCTATTGGCGGGCTCCAAGAACCTCCACAAAGTCAGCCTGTCATATTCTGGGAGGAACAGTGAGGACCAGTAAGATAGAAAGGGCAGCACAGGGCAACACCCTGCAATCTACCCAGCACTCCTCCCCAGATCATGCATGCTTATCTAGCAGTTCCCAGGGGGATGAGCAGATAAATTGGTTCATTGACCTCAGCTTTGAAAACCCAGAGCATCCCCTGTGTAACAAGGGAGGGAAGAATTTGCTCTATGATCCGGATTTTGACAGCAGTGATGATAACTTCTAACCTTGCTGACAGTGACTTCAGCTGATGGCTCGTTGATCTCAGTTAGAAAAACAAATTGTGGGGCTGGAGAGATGGCTCAGTGGTTAAGAGCATTGCCTCCTCTTCCAAAGGTCCTGAGTTCAATTCCCAGCGACCACATGGTGGCTCACAACCATCTGTAATGGGGTCTGGTGCCCTCTTCTGGCCTGTAGGCACACACACAGACAGAATATTGTATACATAATAAATAAATAAATAAATATTTAAAAAAAAAGAAAAACAAATTGTGGAACATTTGGACTGGACAGTAGCATACAGTATCTGAAATTGGCTTATCCAGCCTCAGAGTCAGAGGCCTTGACTGATGGTGGTCAGTAGGAGATAGGCAAGAATCCAGTACTCTGGGTCACTCATGACAAAGGTGTAGAAGTTAGTTAAGGGGAGGAAATGTGTGGAGACAGTGACGAGAGCTCAGTCAGCCTGTGATATCGCATCAGGAAGGCAGTCGTGTGTATTTGGTCAAGGGAAGGTCTTCTTTATGGAGCACTTATCTAGAAGAAGCTCTCAGAACTCTTGTGGCTGCATGGGTAACTCTTGAAACACTCCCTGCACCTGATGGATACCGTCTGAGCCTCAGGATTTCTTTTTTTAAATCTAGTTATACTGTCAAAAGAGTTTTCTTATTTGCATTAAAGGATGTATTACAGGGTACCCTATTAGACCAGAGTTCATTATGTAGCCTTGGCTGGCCTTGTATTTACAATCCTCCTGCCTCAGCCTCCAGTACTGGTACCACAAGCATGTCTCAATTCTCAGCTGTAAATCAGTCTACTTAAGAACAGAGTATTGGTGTGCACCTTTAATCCCAGCACTCAGGAGGCAGAGGCAGGTGGATCCCTATGAGTTTGAGGCCAGCCTGGTCTACAGAGCGAGTTGCAGGACAGTCAGGGATATATAGGGGGAGAAAAAGGAGTGTTAAAGATGTCTATGAAAATTCATACCTGTAATCCCAGCACTAAGCAGAGACCAGAATTACTTCAGATTTGAGGACAGCCTGGTTTACATAGGGTGTTCCAGACCCATTGTGGCTATATTATAAGATCTGAGGGTGGAGTGGGGTGGAGTGGGGTGGAGTGGAGCTGCCTTTGAGAGAGGTGACTCATATCAAACAAGACCAAAATAATCAAAACTAGTATAGCTATAGACCCTATATTATTGGAAAGCAGTAGGCTTTAAAAAAAAAAAAAGACGGGTTTTCTGTGTAGCTTTGACTGTCCTAAAACTTGCTGTGTAGACTAGGCTAGTCTTGAATTTATAGAGATCTGCCTGCCTCTGCCTCATAAGTGCTGAGATTAATGGCATGTGCCACCACAACCCAGCCAAGCAATAGACTTTTATGCTAGACTTATTCCACTTATATCTTGTTGCTGGCTTTTGTTTGTGTTTTTGAAGATCCTGTAGCTCATGATTACCTGGAATTCATTATAAGTCCAGACTAGGCTCAAATTCACGGCAGTCTCCTTTCTTTAGCCTCTCAAGTATTGGGGCTATGGACATAAACCACCATGACTGACTTTGACATATTTTAATTTTTGCAACACATATGTATTTCTTTGTAATTAAAAAACCATCAAAACCAAAAATGAGCTGGAAGATGGTGCAGCAGTTAAAGCACTTGCCACCCAGATGTGAGAAGTAGAGTCCAGACCCCTAGGAATCCATGGAAATACGCTGTATGGATGAGACAGCCCAGCTGTGATTCTAGCCTTAGGAGGTGGAGACAGAAACGTTAGCTAACGAAACTAGCCGTATCTGTGAGTTCTGGTTTTGTTTAAGACCCTGCTTCAATAAATAGGTGATTAATTGAGGATGATTCCTAACACCGACCTCGGGCTTCCACGTGCATGTGCACCACACCACACGTGCGAGCACACCAGACATGCAGAGAAGAAAACAACAGCACTAAACCTCCAGGTTTGGTGGCAGATGCTTGTAATTTCAGGCGGGTCTAAGACAACAGGACCCTAGGTTCACTGCCAGCCCAAGCCACATAGTGACACTATCTCGAGAGAAAGGGAGGAGAAGGAAGAGAAAAGAGATAGTGAAGGAAGTCACTTAGAGAGAAGCTTGATGGAATGAGTGGTTCCGTAAAATTGCCCATTTCCAAGCCAGTCTCCAGCCACTGAAGACTAAATTGTTGTAGAAATAAGTGACTCTTAATTTCTTTCTCTTCAGGAGAATTTTATTCCCATAAAATTCTGTAGGGCTTAAATCTGTGACACCATTGGCAGGGCGCTAGACACTAGTCTGTTCTCTTATTTCCAGACCAAGGGCTTTCTGTAGCCTGGACCTCCCACGCATGTGGACAGTCACAGCTGTCCTTTCTTAGGCCGAGGTAATTCAAGCCTGGATTCTGCCTCAGGCTGTGCTGGCCTTTTTTCTGTGGACCAAATAGGCTGGCTGATTAGTCTCCCCTCTGCACCCTCCATTGCAACCCCTGCTGGCCTTCATTGCTTGTCCACAGAAGTCATAAGAAGCCACAGCCCCATTACCCAAAAGGCTTCTTCCAGCCCTTCCCAAACTGGTTACAGTTGCTCACCAAGCCACCAGAAGGAAGCTTTGAGACCAAAGGACCTTATTTCTGGTGAACAAGAAACTTGTTATATTTTATTTTTATCTCTGTTGATGTTTGCTGTTTTAATTCAAAGTTGAGATCTTGTGAAGTTTTTTCAGTTAGTATTTATGACTGAGCCCTTCTTGAACCACCTCACTTTAAAATGCCAGAGATGGACCCCGTGTTGCTAACTCTGCTGTACAAAATGCTATTCCTCAGCAGTACTTCACTTTTTGGGTGATGCTGTCAAAGTTCACTGTGATTCAGTGTTCCATGAGCTGGATGTTTTTATAGAATAAGTGGTAAACTTATCTCCTAACAAGGCTGAGATAATTAAAAATTACACTGTATGTCTCTGGCAATCATCAGGAAAGGGTATTCTGTTTCTTTTTTATTCCTATGGCTTTTTACTTTTTTTTTAATTTTATTTTTTGTTCCTGTCATACTTGTTGAACATGACATAGTCTCAGGCACGCCCTTGGAACACACAACATTTTTGGCTCTTCATATGCTCGTAGAGCTGTATGTAGCTACACAGGGGCGGATATAGTGGGAGGTCTGGGGTGGGAGGATGGAGAGCCTGCTGAGTGCTCCTCCCTCTGTTACTCCAGGATGGAAATGAAGCTGACTACAGCACTTACTTGCCTGACAGCCCAGTATCAATTTACATATCACTGACAAATGGCCCTTTTACATTTAGAGAGAGAGTGTTGGTCCTCTCCTTCACCATCCTCTTGCTCTGTTTTGTCTCACACTGATGGAGCTGAGTTAGTGTTCTTGTTTTACTTGCCTTGACCAGAGTTATAAACTCCAGAAGTAAGAACAGCACCTGCCTCGTCTGTGCTGTGTCCTCAGCACACAGGAAAGTGTCTGACTTGGTACTTACTGGGGCATAGGCTGCATTTTTAGGCAAATGGCTTTTTAAAAACCATCTTAAACCAGGTAGGTGGTGATTGCACAGGCCTTTAGTTCCAGCACTCAGGAGGCAGAGGCAGGCAAATCTCAGAGTTTGAGGCCAGCCTGGTCTACAAAGTAAGTTCCAGGGCAACCAGGGCTATTACATAAAGAAACCCTATTTTGAAAAACAAAACAAAACAAAAAACCAAACAACCTCCCCCCACACAAAAGCCCTGTCTTGGAATTTGAGTCTTCAATAGATCCTTGTGCTGCCCCTCCTTGTGTTGTTCGGAAGCTCCAAAAGGCTCATGCTTATGTCCACGTCTCTCAGCAATTCCTGGCAGCTCTTCCTTCACCCAATGTGCTGAGAAAACAGTTGCCTCACTGGTAGGTTTGTAATTTAGATTTTGCTTTTGTTTTGTTCCTGAGAGACAGGGTTTCTCTAGCTTTGGAGCCTGTTCTGGCACTCGCTCTGTAGAACAGGCTGGCCTTGAACTCACAAAGATCCACCTGCCCCCCCCCCCCATGCTGGGATTAAAGGTGTGTGCCATCACCACCCAGCACTAGATTTTTTTTTAAAGTTAGTCTTGACAAAACTCTTCTTTACCATACATGTTTCAGAAAGCCTAGGGTAGAGAGCTCTTCTACACTAGGGCTTGGATCTTTGTCAAATACATTTCCTGAGTAAAACTTTGTTGCTTCTGTAAATACTTAATTGAAACCTAAAATATTAATGTTCTCCCACAGAAAGAATAAAAATTGCCAGAACCTTACATGATCTGGAATTGACAGTCTTTTATTATTATGATGATGATGATGTATACAGCATTTTGCCTGCATGTGTGCCTGCACACCAGAAGAGGGCACCAGATTCAATCATAGATGATTGTGAGCCACCATGTGGTTGCTGGGAATTGAACTCAGGACCTTTGGAAGAGCAGGCAGTGCTCTTAACCTCTGAGCCATCTCTCCAGCCCCAAGTTGACAGTCTTTTCAGCAATTCTTAGCCATCAGACTATTGACTTCTCAAGTCTCCCTGTTTATGCGACTCTTAATCCTTTCCCCCTGCAATATTTTAAGCTTCTGTGCCTCAGAGATGTACCATGTGGGAGCCCTTTCCACAAATCTTCATCAGTGTACCTTGAACACTAACATCTTACTGTAAGCATTGCGGCTCGGATAGAAGGGATCCTGGCAGTTGGGAGCCAGGGAGTAGCACAATAAGTGTAAGAGAACCCTGGGTGGAAGAAGGGCAGCCACAAACTGAACAGGCACAGGGTTTATATAGGGCTTCTTAGGGGCGGAGTTTTTTCAGGAAGATGTTTTTCAGGGTGGGAATTGGTCAGATTTCAGTCCCTTGGGGGCAGATTTGGCTCTGGTTTCAGGGCCAAACACTGGGGTTTTTTGTTGTTGTTTTTTGTTTTGTTTTGTTTTTGGATTTTCAAGACGGTTTCCCTGTGTAACAGTCCCAGCTGTCCTGGAACTAGCTCTTGTAGACCAGGGTGGCCTCAAATACACTGCAATCCGCCTACCTCTGCCTCCTGAGTGCTGGGATTAAAG